TTTCCCCCCCCCCCCTTTTCTTCATTTTTGTAGGACTGTGATTTGTGTGTGTTGATCAGTTCCAGTGAAATTCTCCCAAAACAGCGGCTGCCCACAGCTTGCACTGACTTTTTTTTGCATCATTTGGGGAAAAGCTGCTTTTTTGTTTTTTGTTACTTTTTTTTTTTTCCCCCTCTTGCTGACACTTCTCAGCGGGACCCAACTCGAGCGTCTCCGAGCTGGACATAGGATTTGGCCGGGCGCATTTAGCTGCCTAAATGTCAATGCTGAATTGGGCCATAAAATCTGAATTTGAAGCAAGTTGGGTGGGAATAGCTGATTGCTGATTGGGTCGTTTCACTACAGGAAACAGGTCGGGTCATTTCACTGCCATGGCATCCGCAGGAAATTAAATGCCTAATTAAATGTTTGTTTGCAGACTATGACTAAATACCTCCCGAAGGGTTGCTCTGGTTGGGTCCGCCTAGACCAAGACACCAGTGAACACCAGGAGATGATTCCCATCGCTTCCACCACCCCAAAGCCAACAAAGCTCAGGAAAATGGTTCATTAAAAAGGTTTATTACTTCATTTGGAGTTATCTGGAAAATGGGAAATGTGGGTCCATTTCTGGGGAAGAACCACTGGGTTTTGGGAGGCTGGTTGTAGACCTCTTTCTACGCTCATGGATGGGGCTTTCTTCTCGCTTTCCTGCAGGTTGCTCCAGCATGGATACATCATCCTGGCTTTGGGCTTGGTTGAACATGAGTCCAGATGGACCCTCAAAATACATCACGGCCAGCACCCAAGTAGACCCTCAAAAGGCGTCATGGCCAGAGCCCAGGTGAGCCTTCAAAAGATGTTGCACCTGGAACCCAGGTGGACCCTCAAAACATGTCACAGCCGGTGCCCAGGTGGACCCTCAAAACACATCATGGCCAGCCAGGGAAACAGATCAAGTGGTTGCTGGAGCTGGACCACCTCTGGTCCTCCATGTCCATCTTCAGCTGTGGTGGAAACTCATCCCAGGTGGCTGGTTGATGCCTCTATACTCAGCCATTTTGGGGGTTTGGGGTTTTTTGGGGGGTTGCTACATCTGCCCACAGATGCCTCCGGCTGCAGCAAGCCCCCATGGAGGTGGGTCGCGCCTACTGCTCCGGGTAGACGGGGGCTTCAACTTCGTTCCGCCTGCGGTCTGAGATGCGACTGGAAGGGGTGAAAAGCGTGGTGAGATGAAGTCTTCACCTCGTCCCTGGGCCACCTTCACCTTCCTAGAGCAAAATCCTTCACCCCCAGTGTCACATCCCTGGGGAAAATATCACGTTGGTCTTTTCCCTAAAAGTGCGTTTTGCTCAACGCCCTCCAACATCCTTCTTGCCCCACCAACCTTGTCCCTCCTCCACCTCGTGTAGGATTTTGCTCCAAAATTTCTAATTCCAGCTCCCTCCTGACCACCTTTTCCACTTCTGGGCTTCATCCCTCGTCTTCTGTACAAGGGATGTCCCAAAAGAACTGCAATTTCCCACCCACCCTGCCTCCAAAATGCTGCAATCCCAGCCTGATTTTACTGCCTTCCATCCCTTCTACCCCCTCAGGAGCATCCTTCCACCCCACAGGAGCCACAGAGGGAGAAAGGCACTAAAACATGGTGCTGAGGGATCTGACATGTGGCTCCAACCACGTGTGGACATCCAAGGTGGACTCAACAGAACGGCCAAGGTGCAAAACAGCTGGCCAGAGGTGTGAAATGCCTCCCTGATGCGTGGATCCACCTCAGCTCCTGATGCATGGATTAAATGAGGTGAAGCTCATCTGAATGTCAGCACCCAAGGCTTCCTCTGACTTTGCCCTATTCCCAGTAGAAGACTTTGGGCATCTCCAGATCTCCTTATCCAAGTCCTTCTCCCAAAATATCTACTTATCTCCATGAGCCACCCATAGAGTTTAGCTCCAGCTGTGAGGTTTAAATGAATATAGATCTCTGGGCAGCATGAATCCCACCACTCTTGGGCTCAGATGTCCCACTGGTAACCACCTAGTCATGGTGGACCAGCCCCAATTTTGCTATTTGGATACTGAGGTTAGAAAGGACCAAATCTGCCTGTTTTAGCCCCATTATTTTGCCTCCTCATTGCTTCTCATGGGGATCAGAGGGGCCAAGCAGGAGAGTGAAGCAGAAGAGACCCCATAAAATGGCGATGAGCTGTTTGTTTCTGCTAGATCTTGGCTTGCTTTCCCTTTTTCGCAAAACAAATTTCTGGATTAGGGTCAAAAAGCAATTTTTTAAAGGACATTTTAGGGCAGAGCCAACGTATTGGATGTCTATTCTCCATACGCACGTCTCTAACCGTCGTCCCATCGCTGATCCGCACCTCGGCTTGGGAAAAAACGAACTTTTGGGGGAATTTAATAGGGAGGGTTCATCCAGCCGAATTCGTAGCGTGAGATGTGAATGCGAAGGTGGGAAGAGCCACTTACGGGCGTAATTTCCTCGGTTTTGTGTATCAGTCACTGTGGACAGAACCAGAGAAGATGGAGACGCCCTTGCTGGACTCGGAGGTCATTCTTTGCCCTCTCGTTTGCAAAAAAATAGCATCGTGGTGGGGATTTTGGGGGGACAGGGGGGAGGGCACTCACCATCCGGCGAAGTCCTTGGCTCTCCAGGCGTCCACCACCTCAGCGAGGCTGCGGGCGGCCCGGCCATTGGGCAGCATCAGGTCGTCATTGGCGTGGCCGTTGAAGTTGCCACAGGGGGCGCAGAGCTGGCCGGCCAGGTGGGCGCCCACGGTCACCGTCACCTCGCCGCCGGGGCTGAAGAGCACCTGGACTCCAGAGGAGTGGGAGATGGTGACGTTCCCCGCCGCTGTGCTCAGCGAGACGGCTTTGGAAACGGTGGCTGGCGGGCGCGTGAAAATGCCGTTCACCTGGAAGGAAGGACGGACGCAGGGATGCAAGATGCCGCTCTCGGCTTCTGCACGGAGCCGAAAAGCTGCTTAAAGCAATTCCCTTGGACAAGGGTCCCTAAAGCACGGTGAGATAAATCCCACCCGAGCTCCAGGCCCGTTGAATCCCCAGGAGACATCCCCGCTGCAGCTGCAATCTTCAACATGCATTGCAAATTGCAATGGCAAATGGCAAGTAATTGCAACGTATTTTGCAAGCCGCTACTGCAAATTGCAAATAATTGCAATGTTTGCCCAAAATTGCCATGCATCTTGCAAACTGCGGTGGCTAATGGCGAATAACTGCAACGTACATTGCAAGCGGCAATTGCACGTTACAGGCAATTGCAATATCTCTTCCAAATGCGGGAGGGTCCCAAGAATCCAGGGAGGTCCCAGAAGTGTGGGAGGGACCCAGGAGTCCCATAGAGTCCCAGGTGTCCGAAGGAGTCCTAGGAGTCCAGGACCCATGGCTCTAGGAGGGTCCCAGGAGTGTGGGGGAGGTCCCAGGCATCCAGACCTGCCCCTTCCACACTCCAGGGGACCCAGGCATCCGGGGAGGGACCCAGGAGACCGGGGCGCCTGCCGCCCGCTTACCCAGGCCTCCA